AAAAAAAAAACAAAAACCAGTCCTTTACTTTGGAGCTACACCAGGGCAGGAACTGGAAAAACCAAATAAAACCCAGCAGCACCCCAGTTAATTACTTCCCTTCTTGGTCTCCAGCTTCAAGCTGCTGCTAAGGTTGCCTTCCCAGGCCCCTGCCAGGTGTATGCCTGTCTCCCTGACCCCCAGAAATGCTAGATTCAGAGATGCTTAGGTGTGCGGAGCGGCAGAGTCAAGGCTGAGCCCAAGGTGAGTCATGTAAATAAGTTGTTGAGACTACACCAGAGCCAGCCCAGCAGGTGTCTGGCCTTCGGGCTCCACCCTGTTACAGACAGCACAGATGACTCTAAAAATACTTCACTTTCAGTATTCTCAGCAAAACACTGAGAACCTACACGTTCAGCCCCATTGCACGCTTTCCCCTTTCCAGTATACATAAAGACACAGACCATGCTGGGTTGTCGCTGCCTCTCCATCTGACAGATCAGGTGCAACCTGGTCCCAGCTTTCCTTTTAACACACGTCTGGTTTTTTCTTAATCTCTTTCCTGTCACCCCCTCTCAAGAACCTGTGGGGTGCGTGGGCCACAGCACTTAGGCTGGCAAGAAATGAAGCAGAGTCAAGACTCTCAGCTTGCCTCTCTGGAATTTGTTTCCTCAGCGGTAACAGCACAGTCTGAAGGACAAGTGAACTGGCCCCCACAGTGCAGTCCCTATGTCAACAGCAGTGGAACCACAGCTAACACAAGCGTTGTGCCCATGTTCATGACTGAGGTAACTGGAATCTCCCATACCAGAAAGGAACTAGACCTCAGATCTCGGAACATTCAAATCTTCTAAGCCCTGGCCCAAATCCAGCTGAGGTGGGAAGAACTATCTATGCTCTAACATAGTGAAGGACAAGCCTGTGGCATACGTATTGAAGCTGCGGTTTGTAATCACTGAAAGCTCCAAAAGATTTGCTAGCACTACCCTAACATCTACTGGAATTCTTAGTGTCCTTTTCTTATTACAGCACAAAGCAGGTCGGAAAAATCCAAATAAGTAGGAATGAGTATTACTTTAATTTCCATTTCAGCAAGGGATGTAAACGGAGATGCAAAAGATAAAGTAACTTATCTACAGTCACCAATCAACTCAAAGGTCAAGTGTAGGGTCCACGTTATCTGTTTAGTAAAGGCAGAAAAATTCACGTGGCTTCACTTAACTTTGGCTTGAGTTTACTGCACAGGGAAGCTAGAGAAGGACACAAATACCAGCGGCAGTGGGCCTGGTGAAATGTTTCCAGTGACAGATGGCCCGCAGCTCAGCCTTGGCTCCAGAGTGCAAGAGATAATCAGAAATACACACTTGGCAAGAAGCATGTGCAGCATGCTTGCTGCCTCATGCCGCTGCCATGGCTCTGACCAAGAGAACACACATCTACCCCACCAAAGTCATGGCAGGAGGCTTTGCTCAAGTCCCGTTCCTCCCAGGCCAGTGCCATGGGAGGTTAGCAGAGGTGGCTTACAATAGCTTTACATCTTTTTTTTTTTTTAGTACAGGGTCTACAGGGTCTCACTATGCAGCTTGGACTTATGGTGATCCTCCTGTGTTCAACTTGCCAAGCGCTGGGATTACAGGCATGCGGCACCATGTGCCGCCACACCGTCTCAGTTGCCGTCTCAGCACACCCCAGGGCAGGGACCCACACAGCATTTGGTGCCAGGGATTGAACCCCGGTACCTGTGCCTGCCTAAGCAGAGTAACTTTAAATATTGAGACCCCACCCTGAAGCCCAAAGCTCCTCAGTTCTGCCTCTCTGCCCACATCTTCCAGGCACTCTCCAAATCCCAGCCTCTTCCAGATCCTAATGAAAAGACCAACAATGAGGAGGAAAGGTAAACCTTTATTTGGAAAAAGTTGCCCCAGTTCTGCAGACTTAGTGCAGCTTAAACGACCATTTAAAACTCTTATTTCATTTCTAACACAGAAACAAAGAAAACAAGTAAAAGTCAAGGTTGGGTGCTTGCCATCTTTGGCTGTTTTTCACCCTGCAGTTGTGGCAGAAGACACCAGTGGTGTCCTCTCTCCCAAGGGACCAATAGAACACTGCCTTGAGGCCATCTCAGGAGGTGCCCAAGGACACAGAGAGAGGGGCGAAATGAACAGTGGGCTGCGGTCTGCCAGGCCTGGGGCTCAGACAGGCACATGCTAGGATCCCAGACACAAAGCTAAAAAATAGACAAACATAGAAAAAGGACTCTCCCCAAACCTAGGCATGGAAAGCTTACAACCAGGAATGCACAATTCAAGTTGGGTCTTTGGCTTTCAAAAAAAAGGAAAGAACATTAAACTCTAGCCATCTGGCCTTAACTTCAGCCCCCTGGCCATTCCCTTCTGTCTCCTCTGAGGGCTCAATGGGGGAACAGCAAGGCAAACTAACAAAGGCCAGCAGCTACTCTGAGTTAAGGAACATAAGGGGAAGCACTGGCCCAGGAGCAGTCCAGGCCACCTCCCAGCAATGGAGAATAAGGCATGCAGGTGACATGGTGTGGGCCAGGAGTACAAGTGGGCAACAGTACCATGGAGGGGAGGGAATGGAGGCAGGACCCACCAAGACCCTGTTAGTTAGAGTAAATCCTCAAGCATGGCCACCCACAGTTCTTGCACTAGTTTTACCCAAAGCCACCATTTTCTGGGATGGTATGACATGACCTTCTGCAAAGAACATGGAAGGGATGAGGGGGGAGGGAGGAGGGGACAAAAAATAAAAAGTGGCTGGAGAAAAGAATAGAAAACTGCTTTTTAGGTGTGCAGAGGAAAGACAGCAGCCCCTCGGTTTCTGAGTCCACCGGAGGCAGCTGATGAGCCCATCTGCTCTCTCCTACCGGGACTCCACCTTACTCAGTGACACAGAGTCCGGTGAGACGAGTTTCCTGAGGTTCTTTTTCCTCATCCTTAAAGTTTTAAACTTCATATCACAGTCCCAGCCCACTGAATTTGATAAAAGAATTCAAACTTCTGCCTCCCCCTCAGGGCAGCCTGGGAAAAGCGGTGAGCTAGGACTGTGGGGAGCTCTGGGACAGAGGCAAGAGCCCACATGGCAGGAAGTCACCACTCACCCAGTCTCCAGCTGTGAGGCCCATTAGTTCCCAGGCCCTCAGATAACAAGTATATACCCTGGTTGGCTGGATGATGACTGGTGCAACTCAAAGGAGAAGGGTCCCCACCCCACTGCCTGCCACCTGGCAACATATGGCCACAAGGCCATGCTCTTAACCTCCCCTAGGCCACAGCCCCTGTATGAAAAGTGGTGGGCATCCCCGGGCCAAAAAGATGCACATCCTGTGTGCATATCTGCCAAGAGGGCTAGGCCCACAGGTCATGAAGACATGGGGAAGAATGGGTCAGAAGGTACCCCCAAGAAACAGCCTGAAAGCAAATAACCAATATGATCAAAAGCTCCCAAACCCTGGTAATTAAAAGTTAAAGGGGAGCACTTGGTACATGAAGGGAAGAGGGAAACCTGCTTCTGCCTCTCCCAGGGCCACTGAGTATGTGGCACAGGATTAGGGAGCGGCTGGGGCAGGGCAGGGACCAGAAACAAGAATGTGGACAGGCTGAAGGGAATGAGATGAGGGATGTGCGCTTCCACAGCGCAGGGCATTTCCAGTCTCTGATCCAGTGAGCTCTTCCAGAAGAGGAGCTCTCTCCCCTGGGCTGTCATGGGGCAGTGACTTCCATGCTGAAGCTGGCTAGCAGGCAGAGATGGTCTGAAGAGCAGAAGGGGTTGGGCAAGCCATTGGCAGCCCAGAGAATCTCTTCAGAGAGGAGGGAGAGGCGGCCCAGCAGCTTAAGTGTCCCATCTCGAACCAGCCTGCCATCTGGGGCACAAAGCAGAAGCCAATGGGCAGGGCAGGTCCTCTGGGACCCACACCTTCTACACCCTACATCCCTCAGCTGCCCCTACCCAGCCCACCACCTCATGCTTTTCCTCAGAAACCCCCATGATATCAAGGAGTGGTAAGCTGCTGTGGCTGCAGGTATGGGCTGAGGAGAGAGGAAACAGCATCTCTAACCTTACCCAAAACCACTGACTAGCTACCCCTGAACAAATCTAATCACCTCCTGGTGCTCTGTTCTTTCTTCTAAGGCAGGGATAGACACTGACTGTCCCACCCACCTCTCTCTGATGTTTCAAGGGTAAAAAAAGGTAGCTTATGAGGAGAATAATACGGACAACTAGACCCAGGCTAGGTCCCAACAGCCCAAGCCATACCACCAAATGCTTCACCTACTATCAGCTATTCCTGGGAAGGAGGAGGTGACTTCTAATATCCCCCAAGCTTACCAGTTCTGTTCCCATTCTCACATGACTCATTTGAGAAAAAGATATAATCCACTGTCATTCCAAGACCTAAGGGCATTGTGGTGACCTCTGGGCGGCCATGCTGGGGCAGGAAATGGGTATACACTGACGTCAGGTGGAGGCAATGCTGAATGGTGCCTATAGTCCTATAGAGACGGGGGAGAAACATCAATCAACAAAAATTACGACATTACCCCTAGTCACTTTTTCTGAGTTTTACTAAATAATTTTTCATGGGATGCTCGCAAATGACTCAATCTCAGCAAATATTTTACAACTGATAAGAGACGGTCAGTCTCAGCTAAAATCAGACAAGTGAGACCCCTGACATCGCTCAGCCTCACTCTCCACTTGCCAGCTGGTAAAGTCAACCCAATGCACCCATCTCCAGGCCAGCAAGCTTGCTATGAGGCTAGGCCCCAATCCTCAAGGAAGAAGTAAATGGACTCTGTCTGCAAGAACGTGGGTGAGTCATCTCTTGCTTCCACACACCCGATATGCTCCTTATAAACTTAAGATTATAAGGAGTGGCCCCCAGATCAGCCTCAGGACAACCAAGGAGAATCTCTCACACCAAGGCTGAAGAGAAATGGAAAGGTTTACCTGGGGAAGACAGGCTCAAGCTCAGATATGTCTTCCTCAATGACAGACTCAGACCAACCAGCAGGTCGTTCTGTAGAAGATCAAACAAAAAAAAAGGCTTTTATTACCCACACACAGAAAAACAGCATCAGAGCCTCTCACCTTTAAACTTCCTCAGATCCCTGATCAGACTCATCCAGAAGGACCGACAAGGGGAAAGAGAAAGGTGATACGTGGAAGAAAACAATGAGCCAAGGTCAAGGACCTAAGCCTTGAGCTGGGGCAAGGTGGTACACAGCTGTAACCGCAGCATTCAGGAGACTCAGGTAGGACGGCCACAAGTTCAAGGCCAGCCTAGGATACACAGTGACTTCTAGACCATCCTGGGATGCACAGCAAGATCCTGCCTTTGAAAAAAAAAAAAAAAAGGCCTATAAAATTTTTTTTAAAAGGCCTCAGGCCTCCAACGTAGACACAATCTTCACTGGTTCAGAACTTCTTTAAAGGTCCCCCCCCCCCCGGAACCGGGGCTTAAACTCAAGCTATTCTACTAAGTTATCTCCCCACCCACCCCTCTTTTGAAGAGTGCAGCCACATAATACAAAAATCAAAATGTGAGGAAAGAAATCAGTGAAGTTCCCTTCCCACTAACCCCTAGCTTGCCATTCAATTCCCCTCTGCATGGGTATCTGATGTTACCAAATTACTGGTGTATTCTATCACATGCCATCTATTACGCATGTATGTATAGCATAATAAAAATGTTTAAATGTAAAAATTTATTGCAATAAAAGACATGTTGCAATTAATCCTCCTCAAAATATTCCTACTTTCTTTAAACACACTTATCCCATCATTCTTGCTATTTCATGAAGTAGCTCTGGAAATCCTTTCATGAATGCCTTCAGCTGCACTATCTGGACTACCTTGATGTACTGGAGCCATGCAAAATGTTTACCTTCCATGATTATTTTCACTTTGGGAAAGAGCCAGAAGTTGTACAGTGCCAGAACTAGTGAATAAGGTGCATGAGGACACACCGTAATATTTTTACAGGCCTTCCTTTCTATTGGGTGGCAGCTCTTGGCAGCAGCATTCACTGTATTTTTCATTATCCCCATAAAGATATGAAAGACAACTTTCAGGACTGCTTCACAAGTGGCAAAAATGAAAGGATTAATGTGTTCAAAGTAAGGGCAAGTATTCTGAGGGGAATTAATGGCAATGTGTCTTTTATTGAATAAAGATTTTTTAAAACTTAAACATTCACCATATTTTTAGTCATCTTTTGTATCTATCTGCAGATACATAGGTATATGCATATACACACACACCAACATACACATATATATGTACACCATATACACACACACATAAAGAAAAGAGGAAGTTAAAATACCAACATCAAGAAAGAAGTTTCAGGGGCCGGGGAGATGGCTCAGTGGGATAAGCGCTTGCCTCGCAAGTGCAGGGGCCTGAGTTCAATCCCCGGTTCCACCAGAAAAAAAAGAAAAAGAAGTTTCATTACTACAGATCCTGACAATAACAAAGACAAACCCTTAGCTAGACTAAAGAAGAAAAAATACTTAAATTACTGCAATTAGGAATGAAAGGAGAGTCATCACTATCAACCATACATCAGGAAAAGACTATAAACAAATACTATAAACAACTGTATTACAAACTTCTAAACAAACACAATTTACGTAAACTGATTCAAGAAGAAATAGAAAATCTGACTAGGCTGAGACCCAGCATGTTGGAAGACGAAAGCAAAACCTTCAGTATGAGCCCAGCAACCTGACAGAACCATGTCTCAAAATAAAACATAAAAAAAGAGCTGAGGGCCTTTTTACCAAGATGGCGCCGAAAGCAAAGAAGGAAGCCCCTGCCCCTCCCAAAGCTGAAGCCAAAGCAAAAGCTTTGAAGGCCAAAAAGGCCGTGCTGAAAGGCAACCACAGCCACAAAAAGAAGAAGATACGAACGTCGCCCACCTTCCGCCATCCCAAGACACTCCGGCTCCAGAGGCAGCCCAAATACCCTCGGAAGAGCGCCCCCAGGAGAAACAAGCTTGACCACTATGCCATCATCAAGTTCCCCCTGACCACAGAGTCCGCCATGAAGAAGATTGAGGACAACAACACACTCGTGTTCATTGTGGATGTCAAAGCCAATAAGCACCAAATCAAACAAGCTGTAAAGAAGCTTTATGACATCGATGTTGCCAAGGTCAATACCCTAATCAGGCCTGATGGAGAGAAGAAGGCATATGTTCGACTGGCTCCTGATTATGATGCATTGGATGTTGCCAACAAAATTGGGATCATCTAAACTGAGTCCAGCTGGCTAATTCTAAATATATACTTTTTTCTCAGTAAAAAAAAAAAAAAAAAAGAGCTGAGGGACTCAGGTCAATAATTTCTGACATTGCCAGTTAAACAGAAGACCCAATGCTATTATGGGCTACTGGACTCTTTTAGAATATTTTGCTGAGTTTACACACCTATAATATTCAATAACGGAACTTAGAAAAAATGGGGTATACCTATGAATGTCCATTTTGTATCTGTGTATTCAAAGTGGTTGGGATAGATATATAGTTGCATTCTCTTAATGAATAGAATGATTTGTTCTAATGGTGTTTGTAAATAGGATCACAAGTCCGCATCTTGTACAGCAATTAACCACTAAGAAGAATATATGCAGTGTATCATTTGTTGAAACTGTACTTCCGATTTGATTTGAAACTGTCTCATTGCTATCTGTTTATCAATAAAACGTTGAAGAAAAAAAAAAAAAAAGAGCTGAGATGTAGCTCAGTGCAAAGGACCTGGGTTCAAGCCCCAGTGTGGGTGGAGAGGCTGTAAACTAATGTCCAGGTTCAGATGGCTTCACTGGTAAATTTTACCAAACATTTAAAGAATCTTTTACAAACACTTTCAAAATCTAAGAGGAGACATTTTTTCTAAAACATCCTACAAGGCCAATATTACTTTCATATCAAAACTAGATGAAAACATCACAAAGAAAACTACAGATTGGGGGGGGAGAGAAAAAGAAAACTACAGATCAATATCCCTTATGAATATAGATACTGAATTACTCAATAAAACACTAGCAAGTCAAACTCAAAAAAATACAAAAATGATTATGCACTGTGACAACATAGCACTTATCCCAGGAATATAAGGTTAACTAATATAATACATCAAATTAAGTATTTTTAAGGACAAAAACCATTATTATCTCAACATGAAAGACCTTTGACAAACCCAACATCCTCTGATGATTAAAAAACACTCAAAAAACTAAGAATATAAAAGAACAACTCCAATTTTGTAATGAAAATAATTTACGAAAAAGTCCGCATTTATTCTATGATATCATAAAAGTGAAAGACAGAAGCTTTACCCCTGAAATCAAAAATAAAACAAGGACATCACCACTTCTAGTCAATATTATAACAACAGCTCTAGTAGGGTAATTATGGAAGAAGAAACAAAGGGCACCCACACTGGAATAAAATAATTCTATTTCTAATTGCAAGATGACCTGATCTTATATGCAGAAAATCCTAAGAAATCCACTAAAAACTATTAGGATAAATCAGTACAGGAAGAGTTTGTGTAATACGCAAAATCAATATAAAAATAATCATATCTTTATACACGAGTAGTGAACCCAAAAAAGAGATTAAAAAGATTTCATTTATAACAGCATCAAAAAGAATATACACAAATTATAAATATAAACATTAAAATAAATTTAACAAAAAATGTGTTAATACTAGCACATTGAAAATTATAAAGCGTAAGAATTTAAGATCCTTTTTTTTTTTAATATAACTTTATTTGTTTATTTATTTAGTGTGTGTGTGGCCAGTTCAGCCCACCAGGGGGCGGGTCTGGCTCGCATGTGGTGCTGGGGATTGAACCGTGGTCGGTCTCTGCTTTTGCTTAGCTTAGTTTGTTCTAAGGAGGTGCTTTAGACCACTGAGCCATCTCACCAGCCCCAAGAACTTAAGATCTCTGAATAGAGTGATTTGTTCTAATGGTGTTTGTAAATAGGATATCATGTCCGCATCTAGTACAGCAATTAAACACTAGGAAGAACGTATACAATGTGTTATTATTTTTTTTTTTTAAGGAATTTTTTCTTTGTTTATTTGTAGTAGCTTTTGAGACAGGGTCTTGCTAGGCAGTCCAGGCTGAATTTGAACTCTGTGTAACCCGCAATGTGTTATTATTGAAACTGTCCTACCAATTTGATTTGAAACTGTCTCATTGCTATTTGTTTATCAATAAAATTATGGGGAAAAAAAAGAATTTAAGAAGATCTTAATAAATGAAAAGATATCCTATGTTCACTGATCACAAGTTAACACTTAAAATGCTATCGCCCAGGGGCTGGTGAGATGGCTCAGTGGTCTAAAGCACCTACTTAGAACAAGCTTAGCAATGCCCAGGGACCATGGTTCAATCCCCCAGCACCACATGCCAGCCAGCCCGCCCCCTGGTGGACTGAGCTGGCCACACACACACACACACACACAAATAAATAAATAAAATTAAAAAAAAAAATAAAATAAAATAAAATGCTATCGCCCAAGTTGAAGATTTACAGATCCCTACTAAATCCAATCTTGTTTTGAGAAAACTTAAAAGCTGACCATAAAATTCATAGGAAATTCAAGGGTACAATAACAGTCAAAATAATCACAAAAAATAATAAAGAGGCTATAACATTCCTTAGTTTGGAAATTTCATTTTTTTGTTTTTCAAACACTATCATTCTTTTTTTTTCCCCATAATTTTATTGAGAAACAAATAGCAATGAGACAGTTTCAAACCAAATTGGTAGGACGGTTTCAATAATTAACACATTGTATACATTCTTCCTAGTGGTAACACTATCATTCTTAAATGACAGCATATAAGAATAGATATAAAGAGGCAATGGAACAGAACTGAAAGTCCCAAGACATATACATCTATGGGAAAGTGATTGCTAATGGGTCTAGGGCTTCTTTTGTGAGTGAAGAACAGGTCTACACTTACAGCCACTAATTACAGTTTAAATGGATGGATTTTA